TGCACTTCTTCAGACTAGAATTGAATGTGCTACAAAACTGCATACCAACTGAACTGTATTTAATAAAATTTTCTGTTGGCAAATGGTTCTATGCATTTTTTGAATGAGATGTTTTTTTAGTGTTTCATTTAGAACAAAAAATTTAACGGCATATAGCGATGTATCGAGTTTTTTTCTCTTAAATATCGAAAGTATGGAGTACGGCGAGTATCGATACTTTTGCAGCTCTAGCTGAGATGGGTCTCTAAAACAAACACCCGAATAGAGGCTTTTCCATAAGCATACATAAAAATTACGCAAATTCCTGTGTGTTATAAAACTAAGTCCTTCAAACATGATGGAGGTTTGGAGTATTTTTCTTGGTACGGTAAAATTTAAGACAAAGTTATGCTCTGTGGCCTTTCGAAAATTCATGATTAAATATTAAACGGAAGATGGGGCCATTTAAATTTAATAATTTTACAATACGCCACTTTTCTCATTCTAAAACCCAAAATACAGTAGCGCAGTGGCAGTGGCATTTTTTCGAAATCAGTTGTTTTTTTAGAAAGTGTGCTGTCCAATGAAACCACACAAAATACAGCAATACGCTGCGCAGTTTAGCCCAGATTCTAAATTCACTGCGATTGCCTTCAACGTAACAAACTTTGAGTGATGTATTTGACATATCGCACACCGTCTTCAAAAGAGGCACAACTCAAAATTACACATTTGTCAGAAAATGCGAAAAACTATTTTTTAGCACATGATAATCATATAGGCAGAGAGATTTTACCTTATATTTTTTTAACAAATTATAATAAAACTTTTATCCAGCTTTTGGATATGGATATGGTAAGGTAAATAAAAGCTCTGTGTACATTTTTAGCGCACAATTTAAAAAATTCCATATTTTGGGTTGCGTCTCTTTTGAAGACGGTGTGCGATATATGAAATGTTTATGTCGCTGAAGCTCAAAACACAACTACAAAAGTGTAATCTATATATTAATACGCTAACATAAATTTTGTCTCCGTTCGTTTGGCTATTCTACCAAACCGATTTCAAAACCAAGAACACCGTTGGAAAGGCATTTTTCCGTAGATGAGCAGAGTTTTTATTTTCGAATTGTGTATAGATGTTGCAGCAACATGTTCAATTTGAGATGTTTCGCCTGTTGTTTCACTACACATTTGAAATTAAGCTTTGAAATGAAGATAAATATGAAGATGAAGAAATAAATGTTAACGATCAAGTCAAAAAAAAAGAAGACAAAAGTGAAGATAAAGACGAAAATGGAGGCAATGACAGATACATAAGAATTAGGGTAACTGAAAGGGTAAGAACATTTCTTGAATTTATGAAGTGAAACTTCTTTAGCGGCAGTTGGTTGGTTGGGATTAAATTGTCAAATTCAAGGGGAATAATGCACATGGAAGTAGTTCTCAGCGGTTTAGCGGTTTGAGAATAAAAACAAAAACAAAGATGCCTAGAGGTACAGGCAAAAACGAAGATCAAAGTAAATTTAAACACTTTAAGGCAAAGGGGAAGAGGAATATGCAAAAATAAAGATAAATATGAAGAAAAGGTTGAGGATGAAGTTCGATATTGTTATCGATATAAAACTCGATTTTTTTATCGATATAATAATATAAAATAATCGATATTGTTATCGATACTGTTATTGATTAAACAACCGCTATTGTAATCGATATAATAATCAATATAATAATCGATATTGTTATCGATACAATAATGGATATTGGTATCGGTATAATAATCGATTAAATAATTGATTTTGTTATCTTTTTATTCATTTATATTGTTAACGGATACTGATGATTGTTATATTTATCGATGAATTAATCGATTTTACAATCGTTGCATTTTTCTATATGATTATGGATATTGTTATCGGTATTTTTATCGACACAGTTATCAACAGGGTTATCGATACACTAATCGGAACATGGAATGTGATCACATTACATGACATCAAATCACATTTTATCACATGATATGAAGAGACATCACATGATATTACATCACATAATATGATATAACATCACACGATATCACGTGACATGGCATTATATGATATGACATCACATTATATGGCATGGCATCACATGACTTGACATCACATGATATGACATCGTATGACATGACATGGCATTACATGATGTGGCATCACATGATATGGCATCATATGGTATGACATCATATGACATGACATCAGAGGATATGACAACACATGACATGACGTCATGCACCTCATCTCATCTACGTGAATAGAAAAAGAAAAGGATATAAGCAAAGATGTGAAAGATAAAAACAAAGATGAAGACCAAGGTTAAGTTACCGATTTCAAAACCAAAAACACCGTTGGAAAGCTAATTTTCTGTAGATGAGGAGAGTTTTTATAGTTTCGAAATTGGTTGAAAATTTTCGTTTAAAAATTTCCATATTTGTGTATGGTTGTTTTTGCAACCTGTTCAATTTAAGCTGTTTCGCACTTTGTTTTACTTCGTATTTGAAATTAGACTTTGAAATAAAGATAAATATGAAGATGAAGAAACAAGTGATAACGATGAAGACAAAAAAGGCAAAAGTGAAGATAAAGACGAAAATGGAGGTAGAGACGAAAATGGAGACAATGAGAAATACATAAGAATTAGGGTAACAGAGTTGAAATTTTCCGATAGGAATCGAAATAAAACCAGCCATAAAGGTTACTGAAATTTATCGAATCATCGAAGTTTATAATTATCGAAATTTATCCATGCTTGTTAAGTCATCGCAACGTATCGAATTATTCAAACTGATCAATGTTTACTGAGTTGTCGAAATTTATAGACACATAAACTTAGTTGTCCAAATTTACGGATAGTTATCGAGCTATAAAAATGTGTGTGACTATCGAAATTTGTCAAGTTAAAGAAATGTATCAAGTTATCGATATTTATTGAATTATCATTATTTTTCGAGGTGTCGTAATACATGGAGTTATTTCAAATTACAGAGTTATCGATAATTATTGATCTACTTAAATTGGTTGGTTCAACAAAGCGAAGTTTATGGAATTTTCAAAATATATCGATTTATCGAAATTTCAAGGTTATATAAGCTTATCGATTTATCCCTGCTTATCGAATTTAATCGTCTTAACAGAGTGTAACGAGTTATCAAAATGTTTAGATAGTTTTCGAAAAATGTGGAGATGTCAAAAGTGAAAATTTATAAAGGTATCCAAAGTTTTTACATTTTTGAGTTAAGGAATTTTGTTGAGTTATCGAATTTTAGTGTTCTTGAAATTCATCGAACTATCGATATGTATGAAATCATTGAAATTTATCGATAAACTTAAATGTATCGGGTCAATTTT